CGGACGACCTGCAGAATTCGACCAAGAGCGTCTGAAGGCACTATTGAAGGAAGATGGTCGCCAAACAATTCGTGTATTGGCTGACTATTATAATAACTTAATTAATAATTTATTATTGCAATTATTGCTTTTTGTTCAGAGAAATCTTTGTGAAAAACTCTACGAACTTATGTTACAACCTAATACATAGACCAACTGGCTCTTGCCAAAGACAATCTTCTCTTTGTTGTTCTTAACAAGTACTAATCCAAATAAGGCAGTCGCTAAACTTTGATAAGTGCGGAATTTACAGTAAAGGTGATATGGAATGAGAGTAGTTCATCGTGTTTAAGGTAGCTCCTTCGAGTTTGACGCAAATCATAGACAATGAAAGTAAAGGCTAGGCTCATACTTAGTTATTGCCAACATTCCGAGTTACCTCTCGTCCACACAAGGGATCGTCGATATTTGTCAACATCTTCGATGAGTGACGTCATGAAGTCGTTGTACTTTGTCCAACAACTCGCTTCAGATTGATGTGCATTAACGACGTCACCGTTCTTGTCAACATCAGTATCAGCTGATAAATCGTCACTAACAGAGCAGTAATCAAGCTTATTCGGCTCGGCTGCAAGAAAAATAGATTAATTGAATTTTTATAGTCCATCCTATTGGATGGCCCATCTCTTGTAGGATGATTTTTGATCTTTTGCCACAACGTAGGGTCTAGCCCTCGCTCGAAATGTAATGGTCAAACCGGGGTCCATGGCAAGTTCTCAGGCTGTCTGCGCTCTCTTACTTAACTCAATGGCAACGAATTTCATTGAAAAGGGGCGACTCCGACGCTTCGTTGATTTTATTCGCTTTTTTCGTTATCAAGTAAGCGTAAAGTAATCAAGACAGGTAATTTCAGCCAAACGTAATCCTTCTAGAAAGGTCGAAAATCAAGTTGTTGGGAGGCCACTGTTTTCGTTCAAACCCCTTTGTTGCCCATACCCACCCTGGCTTTCTGGAGCAAACAAATTGCTTCGGCTTCGGGAAATCTATTGCTACAACTTTGTAAAAATTCTAAGTAGCCTATGATTTCAGAGGATTAATTTTGTAGCATTTTAAAGTAAGGTCACTCACCAGTTTGATGAAGGTACATAGAGCCCGTTGCAGTAAGTTGTGTGTGAGCCTGCATAAATCGGATTAAACTGTGCTCTGCGTAGATAAATATATCAAAGAGTGCATTACTGTGGAATAGTGTAGACCTTTTCGAAACCAGTAGAACTAGCAAGATGATCGTCAGACATCGCTCGCACCATTCCCTCGAATCTGTTTGTACGATTATCCAACGAACGATTCTTTATGTAGTGCTCCTGAAACACTCCATCGCTCAACGGGCCTCATTTGGCCTTTCATTTCAAGTCCAGCTATCTTTACTGAGATGCATATCGATTGAAAAAAACAAACTCGAGTTTGTACGTTAAGCACTTTATTTGTCCTTTTTTACTTGTATTTGGAAAATAGAGTTCAAATACAAATCAATAATTAGTCACTCCGGTTCCCTTCGATGAAGTCAACCACTCTGGTGAGTGGTTTTTAACCTGCCTTAGGAATCAGCAGTTCGGAATCTAGCATTCTTTCCTCAATTGTTGTTACCACCGTGACAAAAAGTCCTCTTAGTAATTGGTAATTGATTGGGCTGACAAGTTTAGGAGTAAACCAGTCTTGGGCTGCGTAAATGCGGGAGTACAATGAACGAATCATCAAACTATCAAGCAGATGATTAAGCTCAATGCTGAATGAGTCGAGAAATATCGAACCTATCTTTTCTGGTACTATTTGTAATACTTTTTGAACTAGTATGGTAATATTTGAAATTTTCCCGAGACTCGCTTACACTACTCAAACAGAATGGTTGATCTATGTATCTACAGGATGGCTTTTTGAAACGGAAATTCTTATCGTAGACATTAATACCGTATTTTGTACCTAATGTTGTCATTAAATACCGTTATATTAGGCGCATCTTGTCATAGTTATCATCAGTTATCACAAGTTATCATTTCCTGTTATTAGGCGCGGTCTATTGAAAGGGCAGGGTCAGCGTGGCAAACCGAGGTAAGAATGTCAAAGCATGGATTGCTAAGTCTTCAATCCGCGTGAGAGAATTTCTCTGCTAAATTAGGAATATGATGTTTACAAACCAGCTTTATCAGGATTTCTGTAAGTAAGAAAATTGATTCTGATTGTCGTAGAGAAAGAAAATGCTCGTTAATGTCTTACAAAAAGTGTATTTAAAGTTACCTTGGCCGGTGAAGTCAGAAGAGACATGCGTCGTCGTGCGACATCACGGATACTGAGTAACTTTTTCTGATCTATAGCTTTGTAAGCTGAAATAGGCACGGATTACAGTATAAATTTCGAATAAGGGGGGGGGGGGGGGGGAAGAACTTGAAGGCCAAGGCCGGAATTCCTGATCTCTGGAAACATCAGCACCTTTGCACTGGCAGTGGCGTGCTGTTGATTAGTCTTCAGTGATTTTGCTTATTTATTTATTTTTCTTAATAGTTTCTTAATATGTTTCTGAGGAGTAAAAAGAAAAAGTGTGAATTATATTTTCTTCATTCTAGATTTTTTATCCAAACAACCAAAATTAAATCTTTTGAGAAAGTATTTGGCCTTTGCAGTGTGAAAGAATGGCTAGGCGATGTTCACATTAGTGTTTAGTGAAATTGGGTTTTTGATGCGCAATGAATCAAAAATTTCAAAAGTAAGAGTAAGCTGGCTCAGCTCGAAGGCGGCTGTCCAGGAAGTAATAGGCTCATTTTCATGCATTTAAATTTATTACAACCTCAAAGTACGAACTTATAGATACTCAACTATTGAGTATAAGCCGGAAAGTGATCTAAACCGTAGCAACATATGGGAATTCGTACCCAAACAGACAACAATTCACCTGATTCTTTTCTTCCTGCGACGCTGCGACACGCCACTTCAGCCAGCCACTCCTCGAGCGCCCGTCCGACGGAGCGGATTGATCGTAGCTGTGATCGAAGTGATCGCAACTTATGGGGCTTTGGAAGGCCTCTGAGTAGGTACTGCCGACGTTCTTCGGCGGTTGTGTAGAAGTTCCCACTGTGTGCGTTCATCCCAGCATTTACCCTTGATGGGTGCTTTGCTTTTGACTTGATAACAACACCTTGAAAAGCCCAGCAGGATTAGTCCGCTATAGCAGAACTACATGATTGGTACTTCCACGGATATGGCATCTTGTAAGTTTCGTTGATATCAAGTCGGATTTAATAGACCGAAGATGTTTCTATCCAGCAAATTTTCAGGATATTAGGAGAAGGAGATAGCTTGGCCCATCACATCATACTTACTACCAGTTATCCTTTCTCGCCCGAACCTACGGAGCCTTCGTTTATTTCGAAAAACAGCTGAGTGAAGTCGTAGTTCACGAAGGTACATGTCATAACAGTAAATAGGCTTTGACAGGCAGGGAGCCTCTGATAACGGGGATGACAGGTCCTTTCATTAGATGTATCGATAGCGGAAAAACTTTACTTGGGCATCGGCCGCTCACCACAATCACTGGTCCATGTGAGTTTCAGGAATGTTCATTCGCTGAGAACTGGATCAGCAAGGATTAGCTCTTCTGGTCCAGCAGTTTTACAGGAATCAAAACTGATGACAAAGCCAAGTGAGATTTCAAGATAAATTCAAGGCAAGCAGAACGAGTCAATGGTCATTTATATAGGCCGTTGGGACAGAAAGGCCTAATACATTACTCCAAAGTAGTGGTTGCAAAACGACTGTCTAATTTATTACAAGTTCCGCTTCCGAGACAAGACAGACACGCTTTTCTAGAAAAATACGGATGACAATGTGAAAGAGTGAAGTTCCGGTGAAGCAAGGCCTCTCACCAGATGGAGCTCAACTGTGACATTAGATTTCTTGTCGAGTAAGATGTTGACAGAGGAGATTACAGTTATCACGGAGGGTAAAAAACTGTCACGTGATAATGTCGATAGACAGAATTCATTGAACTAGTCTGAAGATAGATTGGGAGAGCCCGAGTGGCTGTAAATGGAATGAAGTCCAACTACACTAGTCATCGTTACATTGGACACAGGTGAACGCTATGTTGTAGTAGTATGATGTGTGAGAACATCAGGGGGGCACCCAGACGTTCCGACCAGTGATTCTACCTCTCTCATAAAGAGAGACGTGCAGATGGCAAGATTTCGGCAACTGACTGTGTCTATGAAACATTCGATCACTCATTCAATGAATGAAAGCCGGTCGCCGTGACAAACAGTATATTGTACTTGCTACCTTGCAAGAACATTAAGTTTACCAGTTAGGCATATTTAGCGCAACTTTTTGTCAACCTGTTCTTGAGGAGGACATAGTTTCCATAAACATTCTCAGTTTTTCTATGATCGAGGCCTAGAGTGTATTTGATTTGTCATTGAGAATCCGCCCATCATTAATTGCTCCCTTACGAAAGCTAGTAGGACCGGTCGGTGACTGAATGAACCTGTTAGTTTTCAGAGTTACTGCGGTATCGAGGCTTTCTGAACTCGGACCTCAATGACCTTCTGGAATCTAAGTCTACTGAGCCTGCCCTCATTAGCTTCAAGTCAATTTGTCTCGTCAAATAAGTGACTGATAAGAACATCGACTGAACCATACAAATTCATTGCAAAGGCTAAATACACATCTCAAATTCCCTACCATCTCTGAGAGAAATTGAGTTCATGGCCCACTATTTGGAGATTTATAATTTTTTCATTTTTTATCAATTCAATAAAGTTTTTTGTTGCTTTACCGGTAGGGAAACTGATAAGTAGATAGTATGTGAATATAATGTCATACAAGGTCATCTAGTTTCATAGTACTAACTTTGAACACACTGATCTCAACGACTGCTTTGTTTTCACTATAGAAAGGTTCTCATAGAGAAACACCATTTTTCGTGATAAGCTTTTGAGCCTCTGAGAAGTGAAGAGTTATAAACGTAAAGGTAAATTTGGGCTCTAATGATAACTGAAGATGGCAGGCGATGAAAAAATCGCTCAGAAGTCAAAACAATCAGAGTGGACGAGCACATAAAAGGAAATTACTCAGGTAAAAAATGGGTTACCTGTTTTGTAACTCAATTAGACATGATAAGTTGCGGAGAGTAGTTGAATCGTAAAATGCAATGGGGTATGCGCCACCACGCGCGTCCGCGGCGACACACTAATCAAAAGGCCCCGTCCTTGTGAATCACCGACTTTCAACGGGTAATACTGTGGGAAATATCCCGTACCGCTGACCGAACGCCTTTTATTACGCAAACGGAAAAACGGAACAAACGGGCATTGTTCCGTGCCGCTTACTAGAGCGTTACGTTGTAACCATAACGATTTCTATACGATAAAACACGTCGTCACGAGATTACGGTAAAACAGTTTCTGTCATACGGTGAAACGCGTTCTTCAGAGAGTAGTTGACTTCTCATTTAGTGAGGCTATTACATTGAAAACTTTTTTGTACCATTATTTCCTTCTCAGTTCATTTTCTTTCTTCATGTAGTGGACTAGCAGAACCACTCATCTTACTAGATAAGGATAGCAGTATGTTGATTACTGTCTAGATTTACTGGTATCGACTGACCGTCATTGTGTATTTAGTCACTGACGTTTTTGTAATTTTTTTCAAATATACTTTAGTGTATGTCGTGGAAGTGTGTTCGTAATAAGGTCGCCAATGGTGAGAAGGGTGGTCGCGGAACGACTTCCAAGGTCGTCCCACTCTCAAATAAACACATCCCCATCGATTCAGAGCAGGAGTCATTTCAAAGACGTTTAGGCTGAGGCTGGGCCCGTTAATCGCTCAGTAAATGCTCTAAAGAACCCAAAAAATTTGGTAATAAAAAATCGTGAGAGTGCTTCTCAGTACTGGACTTGTTTATATATTTTTCTCAATGGAACCTGCAACACCTAAACCTCTGAGAACACTTCGTTGAGTGTAAGAGCAATTCTTTAGCGTCATTTTAGGTACAGTTACAGTTTTTTTNTTTTTTTGTGTGATGGAGGATTCCACACATTCCATCCCTAACTCTTGATGTGGTGACGGGGTGCTGAAACGGGAGTAATCGAGTAATTGACTTACTTTCCGGCAACGCCAGAGTCGCCTTTGTGATTGGAAAACAGAATGGGGTAGTAGTGGGACGCGATAAAATTCGGAGCATCCTCTTTCCTACCGCAGTAGTTACTTCTACCCTAACTAAAAGTAATCGTCGAAGAATTTCGACAATTCAGTTGCTTTCGGCCTGCAATGGCATCAGGAAATAGATCAGAAACTCTGAGTTGATTGAAAAAAATGGAGCGAGAAAAGAGAACGCATCGGCTTGGAGTGCTGCGCTTGCAGGAACTTTCTACAGAACTTTTTTCACAGTGAACAGCAATATTTAATCATTCTATGGTGCTCTTCTTAGTAGGAGTCTCCTCATGGAGCCATCACTGAGAGAGCATCAGTATTGCACGCCTATTTAACTGCATGCGATGGAACTGGTATGAGTTCTTCTTCGATTTCTTACAGATTCCTGCGACATGTGCACCTCCATGTGCTCCTGCTCACGTTCACGGAGGTTCGAAGGCGATGTGCGTTGAACTAGAGGACTGCGCTCTGACCTTCCTTCTCATCACCCACCTGGTCTCATGTGGAATGAAAAAAGTAAGTCGAAGATCTTTCATGATAATGGGATGTTTGATCAGGTTCATCGGAAGCCATACATGAAGGCCTACCGAATGGTTGCAGTGGTTATGATCGGATGCTTTGAGTTTATTCTGCCAAATTTTGGCACTTTCCTTGTCCCTGATTAACCTGGATAAGGAACGGTAACTTAACAATAATGTTGCTTCAGCAGTTGAGCCAAAGCAAGCATGACAGTGTCATAGGTTAAATCAGATAGGTTGAGAAAAATTGTTCTCAANTAGTTGTTTTCTCTGTAAGGGCGAGCGGAAGTATGTATGTGCGCTGTAGCCGAGCGGAACCAATCACAACGGCTCGCGACCATTCTGTAAATACGCGTTGCAACCGCTCGCCCGCCTATTGTTATCTTTGTTGGCCACGAAATAAGAGTTTGGACAACCCTCTGATTATTTTAGTTCAAATGCAACCAAAACAAAATGAAGTTACTCGAACACAGATCCATACTCCATACTGAACTTCATTCAGACAAGACATTCATCGTACGGGTTTGCTGGAATTCCTGAGATTTATACAAATAATAAGAGTGATCCGTGGATCTATCTTAGACAGAAGTGCATATTCATCGGGTTTAAAGTTCCTATTAATTATAGCTGATGTAAATTGCCAAATAATTATGCTAATTGTAATAGGCATTGTTCATCGGCCTCGGTCTTATCAGCAGATCAAGAACTGTAGATCATCTTCGTCCAAAGAACTGCGAGAATATGTTTGTCGACGGCTGTGGTCGCTCCGGTTGAGCGTTACTTCTCATTAACGCGTTGAAAACGGCTGAAAAAGATTACTTTCCATCCCGGTACTTCTCAATACTGACCACTACTTCTTCGTAGGACCCACCATCGAGGTTCTGTGCACTCCCACTGGCTAGCTGTGGATTAAGCAAACTTTGTAGTGGAGGCGGTGCCGGCGTTGTTGTCGTCGTGCGACGCGTTACACCTGAATGGTCAACGCTTACATTTTACTACTTGAGTAGCTCGGGTTGTGTATTCACAGAGGTTTTTTAGATATTGCCTTTGTGGTTTGTAGGCTCTTCCTGCTTACTCTATTAGAATTTCTGATTCTTCAGTGGAAAATCTCCATCATTACTAACTGCTTTTCGTTCATGCCCTTAGAACTGTGCTAACATATACTGGTAATTCACCTAGTTCCTTTTTATTCTACACGACTATCTCGAAGAAGTAGGCATGAATCAAGGCTAGGAAGCACTCTGTAAAGGCTTAGCACGGAGTGTTCAGTAGAGACCACTCTATTGAAATGCTCTGTGGTGTCGCTGAAGCCACCGTTAAGACAGGCTCCTCTCAAGGAGGATGTGCTTCTCTGCTTACATCTAGAATCCTGGTCAACTGTGAGCGTAGGACAGCTCTTTTTGCAATTTAAAAAGTTTCAGATTCAAAATTTTCGATTCAGCGTTCAAGAACTTTTCGGAGAAATTAGTTGGGAAAGAAAGTTGTGGAACAGTCAATTAGGTAGTTACCTCAGGGCTTGTTGTCTACCCGTTTGTTCATAAAGAAAGTGCAGGCACTGACAGCCCTGTGATTTTTGATTAATGAAAGTGGGGGGCAAGTAAAAACTAATGAATAAGGGCACAGTGGTAATAAATGCGTGTTGTTACTCTCAATTGCAGAGGTCGGCTCCAAGGGTGGGTTAGGGCTGCGTTCAGCTTTGCTTATAATGGGTAAGGGGCCCCCGAAAGGGACCACCGCCAGTGTCGCGCGTGATGATCTACATTCATAGCTTCCAGGGGAAGATTCACGTGTGAAGTTCTAAGTTATAGTCTACCCTGACGAAAAAAGCGCTAAATCACATGCTTGGTGATGGGATGATAAGGCATTGTATCACATTCCCTCTGTCCTCTACCTTTGTGTTTTCACATTTTGAAGGAGGTCTTAATAAGCTACGAAGGATTTCATCTGTTCATGATTCTGGTAAATTGTAACTGCACAACTTTATAATGGATCTGAACCTACCGAAGAGCTCCCACAAGTTGATCTGCCCGAGACTGGACGAAGACTGGGACTGTCGTTGCTGGGCTTGTGGAGGTGGTGCTCCTAAAACATTCAAGAACACTCATTTCACTATTTTTTTTNTTTTTTTTCTTTGAAAATTGCTTTCATTGCTTCAAAAGACAATCACCAATCAATCCACCGTATGTTATGTTGCAAAAAAAGTAGTAAAATAATAGTGAAGAATAAATGTAATATCACAAGGGTCATACCTAGTAATGATCCGAAGAAATTTCCTTGCCGAGGCCGAGGCGTTGGTGGTGTGGGAAGGGGTTCGGAGTCATCCACTGACGATCCTGAAGCAAACGAGTCAGATGAAGTGATTTGCTAGCATTCTGAGCGAAGGGCTTTTCCATACTTATACTTTCAGTAGTGCTGTCAGGAAAAAGGCAGATTATAGTGAAGAAGGAATAGAAGTTGGGAAAAAGGCGAAATGTTTACGAGATTAGTTAAATCTTCTTCTTTGAATCATGAGTAATGTGGGTGTTCATTAAAAGTTCTCTAACATGACTAACTAGCGTAATTGCATTTCTCTCAAGCTCAGAAAAACCGTTCGTGCTCCTATAAAAGCAAATTTTTCTCTTCATATTTATTTTTTCCTTTGATTCCTTTCCATAAACACCCTCAATATCCATTGTGCTGCCGCTTCCTCTTCTCCGTACTTACACCTCGACTTTCATCACGATGGGGCCTCTTGCCCTCACGTTTCTACATCTTTCTTTGGGAGCCCATAAAGGTCACCTTTCCCGAGCTTCGAAGTCGAATCTTCTTACGTGAATGCCTGGTCCTGCGACGTCCGCAGCTTGTGCCTATACCACCACAGGAGCTATTCTCACATCCTCAAATGAGCAAAGTCCTTTATCCTTTCCTGACTTGGACTTTTGTGACTTTCGAGGAAGTAATGTCCAGAGTAAAAATGAGTATGCTGAGTTCGATCTGTGCTTTCAAAAAGTTTTTACCATTGTAAAGGCCCATTTTTCTTCCGAACCATGCCCAGAGCGCATCTGTCAAAGTGATTGAGCGCGCCTCTCTTATTTTTTNACAAACGCCTGCGATACAAATGAAATGACAGTAACAATCAGAACATATTATTTTTTCGAAAAAAATACTGAGATGACCAAATCAGCAAGCTGTGAAAATGGTTTTGGAAAATGAGACTCTCTTAGCGCTCAGCAGCCATCTACCCATTTATTAAGAAAGTGCAGGTAACTGTTCCAAAATATTCATCCATGCATCTTTCATGTAAAGAATTTGTTGGACAACTTTGTCCCATAAAAATATTCAGCGGCAGATCCAAAGAAACCCATCGATAATAGGGTGGTTCCCAGAAATGAAGTTCTACAATTTTTCCTTTTTCTTTCAAGTGATACTCCACTTAATTTCGGAGTTAACGCTTTAGAAGCAACAAAGGAGAAGAACAAATTGAAACGGTCTCGATTGGGGATTTATCCAGTCGTTGATAAGGGCATGTATTACAGTCCTAGGATAGTGTTCTTCTAACAATCAGGAAACGGCATTGAATTGACATTTATGGCCCTAGCTTTAACCCTATCTGACGAATCACCACTGCAGTATTTGGTTTGAGAAGAGGTGACCCCACAGTGCTATGCCACATTCCGCATTAGTGGCCTAAGTTTCTATTTCAAAATTCTCCAGCGGCATGCGTGGCGCATCCCAAGATAACACCAAAATCGGTTAAATCGGGACATCAATTGGAAAAAAAGGCGGGAAAACAAGATTGAAGTAGTTTACTTATAGCAAAGCAGCAAAGCAAGTTGTGGGAAAAACTCCGGAATAGGTATTTCTGTAGTCAGTGGAAAAATGTTAGCGTTAATATCTGAACCTTGAAATTAAATTGGGAGAAGTTTCTGGAAGCTTTGATTGTGTTTTAAAGCTACGCGGCGATCTGGCGACCCCGGTTTGGTCCATCTTTGTTGTCGTCTTACGAGAATTACGAGCTGATGTCACCAAACATCCAATTCGATTAAGTAAATCGCATTAGATACGGGGGATTCTATTTTTGGTTTTCAATTTTGAATTCCACAGCATGACTTCTTGCTCTTAACCGTTTGGTTGGATTTGGTGCAGTTTTTTGCTTTTCTAAATGTAACTGTTCTCATCGCCTCAGATTAGCTGGCTCGCTGTATTCGCTGTGCTAGTAAAGTAAGGTACGAAATTACGTCTAAGCCTTCGTATATCGCCTTTTGGAAGCCATTTTTTGTTTTTTCTTCCTTGAACGTAACCGGGATGTTTACTTGGAAAATTTTTTTTGTCAAGAGTTGTTTATGACAGCGGATGCTTCGTTTTTGAAAAAGCGTCGTCGAGGCGGATGATTTCATAAATGAAGTACCCTCTGTGTAAAACCCAACGAACTTTCCATTATCTATTATTCTTTAACGTTTCTCCTGACCCTGACGAAAGTGGCATGGTGGCAAGCGGCGCATTAATACGCAAACCTTGTCATTGGATCAAATTTCGGCTTGATAATCCCCCTGGCCAAGCGGGCCTTTCGTCCCTCCGGGGTCGGCTAAGTGGTAGCAGACCTGTCTGGGATGATAAAATCACTGACTTGTATATCTACTGGCTATCGTATGTAATTGTATAGGTCACATCCGTCTCCAAACCGCCACTACGATTCTGAGTGGAAGTCAATCCGGGTACTTATCCCAGAATTAGTTTTATTAATGTCAATGCTTTATTCATACTATCAAGGAAATTGAATCGTTCAGCCTGGCTGAAGTAATGGCTCGAAGTTTTTTTTCAGTAATAAGTGTTTTTACTCACAGGAATATCGGATCGGGTGCCTAGTGAGTGGCTGAGGCAAGCCTCATTGGGTAGATCACGAATCGATTGATCAGACACTATAAGCGGTCACGATCCTTGGGGTGGAAGTAAACTCGAAATGAATGAAGGAAGGATCAAGACATAATGACTGTAGGTATAGGTAAACTAGAGCAGTTATCATAGGCACGCCACTGCCTTACTTGTCATTAAGTCAGACAAACCTTACTTAATTTAATAGGCTGTTTTAAATGCGTAACTTGTTCTTGAAACTTGTCATAACAAACAGAACTCTTTGCAACACCCGAAGAACTTCAAGGGAAGTGGCGGGGGAGTAAGAGGTCGTAGCATGGGTGTTAGCAGTTTATAATTTGAAAACACGGCTGTCATGAAGCGTGGATGTTTTGGAAAAAATGAAGTCAAAGGGAAAGTTTTAAAAAAGGCTATCAACTGCTATTACGCGACGTCTTCTTAGTACGATTTTTTAGAGTAATTACCTCAGTAGATCCCTGTTTAGCACTACCAACTGATGAAACAGCTTAAAGACAGGTCACCAACAAGTCGACTTGATGAATCCTTGCAGATGACTACATTCTTTTACAAAGCTTTCTATTTTCAAATATATTCGGATAATTTCGGATATTATTTATGTACTCAACTTGCGTCCCTTATTTGCACTCGTAGGAAGTTACCAACCATTCAAAACATATAATGAAGTTCGCATTATATCACAAGCGGGGAACAACACAGTGGGGAACACTTTTAGAGGGTTTCCACTAGCAGAGGGTTACTCGAGTATGGCAAGATAGTAAAGTAAAACCGAGAAGTGAGATAGGTTTCACATTTTCCTAGCTGGGATTGAATGGAAGCAGGTGGGTTATGCAGCTTTAAATAGAAGTTAAGCGGTCAGATTAGGAATCGGGCAAGGAAAATCTGAAGGTAAATGATTTCAATTCTCTCACCGACCCAATCAATATGGCTAGGTTAAACGGATAAATAATAAAAATATATTCATATACCGAGTAGATCGTTTTTAATGGCGGCAGTTTTGACCTGCGATCGGTCGATCGACCGCAACTCGCGAACTTTCGATGTGCGCAAAAGAGTCGTTTCCCATTGATTTGTATTGTTTGTGTTTTGTATTTCGCATTATTTTTATTTGTTTAGTATTGATGTACCCTAACTCTTTCCCTTACCATCTCCCCAGGAAAAAAAAGAATTAATGCTAAAGTCTATAGAGCTAAAGCTTTGATTGGATTAACAGCGTTTTGTGTTTTGGGCTAGGATTTTCTGAGGCCAAAACGCAATTTCGTTCGCCGTACCGTGAAGAAACGAGTTACTGAGCAGCTCTGAAAATTATTGAGCCTTACCCAATCAATTTGATCTTCAGCACATTTTTACTCTACTCCTTGGCTAGTTTTCTAATTTACAACTGGTTATATAACAGGTATTGATGATCCCTGATGCGGTGGGGGTAGGCCAAGTTGAACACAATGCGCTCCTTCCTTGGCATGATCGGCTACCAGATCAGATATGATTAACGTCGAGCGGGTGGCTAATGAATGAAGCTGGTCCACTCCCTGTTCTGACGGGATCAACAGACCCGTTTGTGTGTTAACTACATTTACACGGGGTTTCTACATCGGCTACGCTTTTCCTTGCTCATCTTATCCTTCTGGTTATAAGAACAGTGAAAAGTATCGTTCAGTCGGTGATTGTGATTTTTACAACTTATTCATTCGATTCTTCTCGGTATACGTAAGCATAGAATAGGTCGTACACAGCAAAGATGATGGATGGCAAAAAAAACCCGATAAGCTTTTGATTTTGTTCCAAAAAATTGTATGCAAAATAGTAAAAAATAACAAAAATTTCAACGAATGTTGGAGTTTACTGACAGTCTTAGAGGCTTTTTCAGAAGACAGAAACATTCAGGTCAGCTTTCATTCCTCGGGCGGAAGAAGCATTGGTGAACTTGTATACACATAGGAATATGCAGTATGGCTTTGGTAATGGTATCAGTGCTTAGACAGGGTAGTCGACAGTATGGGGAAGTAAGTGTGGTGGTAAAAGAAAAGTCTAGAAAATGTATGGGTTTAGTCAATCCCGTTTTTAAGATGAGCCATATTTTTGACTTCCATTCAGAATCGTAGTGGCGTTTGATACGTGTTTGGCCCGTTCAATAAACTGCAGTGGTCAGCCGACGTATAAGTCAGCTCCTTTATTCTCTCAGATGAGTCTGGTACTAATGAACCGATCACAAAAGATGGAAGGGTTGCTTGTTTTGAGCTGGTATCGATTCGGTACTCGACCCTGGAAGGATGGAAGGCTTGGTTGGCCCGAGCGGATATCGATTTGGTGCTTGATCCCCGGACCGTGCGTCACCTGCCTCTATACCACCTTCGCCCATGGTAAGAAGTTTTCATCGAAATGGCTTTGGAGGCCTTCTACATAGGACCTTCACTACAGTACTCGGCCCAAAACGCAAGGCCAATTCGAGAAATTGTCGTTTCAACTCCCCGGCGATTTGTTCGTTAGTGGGGGGTTTTTGTTTCTGATGAGTTGCTGCTTTGCACGGGATGCTGATACCCGGCTTTTGATTAGTCAGTGATGTAATGAACTCGTTTCATTCCAATCTTATAGAAACTGGATTAGCCCACAATGATCCACTCCAACAGCGCTCGCATTTCTTCTTGGATAGCGGAACAATTTTCTCGTTTCTGAATAAGTGTTAGGGTTTTTTGTAAGGGCATTTAGGGTGCTGATTTTGAAACTGCCAAGCATATGCTGGACATGTATGCTTGCGATAGCTTGCCAATAAATCACGACCTTCTTTTCTTGTCATATACCTTGGAAAACTGGATACGTCAAAAAACAAGCGGACATGCCGGCATGTCCGTAAATAATACGATGCTAAGAACAGAAAGAAGCCCAGTCTAGTGTCTGAATCTTTCTTACCGAAAAACGTGTTGAGAAGTCCTTGAATGCCAGATTGAAACGGTCTCGGTGTTGTCGTAGGTGGGGCTGTGGATAAGAATCCTCCCAGTAGACCAAAATCTTCCCGGAATCGTGAAAATTCCGATTGTCCATCTCCTCCAGCCGTGACTGAATTGTCCGACTCGAAATTCCGTACACCAGATGCTAGAATAAAAATCGATTATCGATCTTTACATCGCGAGGGTATCGTATCAAATGTAACTTGCAAGACAAATAATTGGAACAATATTTTGAATCAATGGGGGTAGCTCAAAGTCAGAGATAAATTTTGTGACTCTTACTTAACACTCCCGTTAAATGCGTTATTCATGCACAGTTTAACATGAGATGTCAAAAAATAGAAAATTTGTTAGAAAGTTGTATTAGATGATGGTATCGATTACAGTCGTACCCTATCCTTTAATTTTCAGTTCCCAAATCTTTTCAAAATCTTCTCGCGATCGATAAAACAATTCGACCGTCAAACTTGGCATTCCTCTCAGACGGATTTTTTATCAGAAAGTAAGAATAGATTTCAAACGTTATGCAATAGCAGACATTGGGCTCGTGGACGTAAATCATCCCATGCACCGCTGGAACTTCCGGCGCCACTGCTTTGGCCCATGAATGCTCCACTCATTTCCATAATTCTTGTAGCAATACCATATACTGAAACACTCAAGGTTTCCCTTAAATTTGCAAATAAAACTCAATTTGAAGGCTCTCACAATGGCTAGCTAATAATAATATACATAGGAATCATACGTCTTCGAATGTTGTCGACGTTTTGAACCATTGTCTCAGGGTCTACAGGAGGTACAGGAGGTGGCTTCTGCCCTAAGACGAATATGGGCAAGAGAATCAGAAGCCACATCTAGAAATGGTAAAATGGCATATTGGTATGGTTGCGAATAAATAGAATATCTCGTTATATCATGGAATAAATCGGAAAGAAAGGATTTGTTATTAGGCAAAACCATCCTATGTGTAAGTAACAGTTATGCGAATGAATCTTGCAGTAGTATGTGAAATAGAAACGAAAACCCGGAAGAATGACGGCTGACAGCCACATCGACGAATACCCGTTATTAATGCTCTCGATCGACGAAGAATGAGAAGCATAAACGCTGTTTGACACGATACGAAGACAATGATAGGGCGGCTAGCCCTCATGGATTAGCGGCGACTAACCGTCGTCGTCCCCCCCTCCGCGCATTTTCCCAGCATGCAGATCACCATCAAGAACCTATTAAGCAAATGGGTGGGATCTCTCTCAGCAGCTTCATTCTGCTATGAAGAATAACGGGAAAGGGAGCAGAGTTTATTTGACTGGACAGGTTCAGCCTTGCCATACTGGTCACTAGGAGATAAAGTCCTTTTGAACAACAGCTCATGGAATCCTTGTTTTTTTCGTTGCTATTTTGTCAGTCGATTATACCACAGTTTCATGATCAGATTTGTAGGGCTACTGGTATAGATAATATAACCTATGACAATTGTAAGCGGTTACATCTACTTTTGCACCTTCACAGGCAATTCATAAATCGACTAGCTTACTTAGAAAATGGTAGAGTCGATTGGAAGAGTTGAAAGGTTGAATGTTCAGCTTCCTATTAAAACTTTCAGAGATCGCTGTTACTTCCTTGTGTAAAAATAATCATTGAACGAACTGACGATGCTATTCGTTGTCGGAAGGTTTGAAACAAGCCTATGAACGATTACAACAATTGCAAGAGGAGGGGGGATCGAACGTTGATTGAAACCCCTGTCCGTCCTTCTTCTAGCGAGTAGCGCCAGATCAGTCTGGGAAACTGGGAGAAAGGCCCTAATCAAGGTTTTATCCAAACATTTTTTCGAGTTCTTCCATTTTCTCTATATATGAATCAGGTGCATGGCGCATTCGAAAAAATGAAGCTGCATTAAACAAATGCCAATACATATTTGTTTTGATCTCTATCAATTTAGTTCGTTTATTAGAACCAAGAGTTATGTCATGGAGTTTCTGCAAAGAGAATCCTTTCTATACTTTCGTGAAGCATATACATGGCGGTCATAAGTTGTTCATTGATTATTTGCTTACTTACCAAAGTAACAGCTGAAAAGTGGTTTCGTCCGGGCTTATCCTTTCCCGTTCAGACTTATTCTCAAATGTAATTTTTTTGAATGAGTGGTTTGTGCACTTCCGCCAGACATTTTCTCCTCAATTCTCATTTTCCCCTCTATTTTGAATTTGTTACCCGGCGAGAGGGGGACGTTCCGTTCCCGAAACCATTCACAAAAGAATCCAATTGAGGCACAAAATCCTTGAGAGTGAAATGGGTCATAGAATACATTGCAATCGTGACCAGAAATCCATTTTGTTGCATTCGAACATCATGAAAACTTGGGAAAATCCTTTTTCATGCATTGTAATATTCCAACGAATTGATAGACCCAGTTTCAACAGCAAAGATCTTCTTCCCATTCATTTTGTAGAAACTTCAGCTGATCAAGTGATCAGCAAGTTCCAATCCCAGCAGATCAAACAAAAAGAACCATGGCATTTTGAGTTTGAGTAGTAATTTGTTGTTAGAAGACGTAAGCAAAACGTTTTGAAAAGTCTAGCCATTGGTGTGCCTGCACGCAACTTTTTTATTTCAGAAAAAGCTATAGTGGACAAGAATAGGAGGAAGGCAATTACTCTGGCAAATACTTCCACAAAAAAATGAATGTTGAATATGAAAAATTCTTAATGTCCTCTAGGTTTTGAAGAAAGTTTCTTTGTGCGTTGACAAGGAAAAATCGCAATGAGGTATCCTTAAAAATATGATTTTTTTACGAATATTATCGAATAATTTTAGCCCGATAGCTTAATAAATGCTAAACGGACGAAAATGATCAGTAAACAGATAACGGACTAAAATTGCTGAACGGATGAGCATAACGCGGTCAGTGGCGGATTTGGAACATGACTGTGGAGGATCCAATGAATACACCACACAGCCGAACCGGTCCGTCGATAAGGGTAGAAGGATTGGTATGGAGGAACGGCTCGAGGTCTGACGCTTTCAGTGAGAAACACGGGTCAACTATGAGCTTTTTTTTGGAACCGTATTGCAAAAAAATTAGTGCCTTCACTGAAGCGCTCTGGAGAAGTCGCTATCAGTGAAGAATAGAAGATAAGTAGAAGCTACGGAAGTCTTCCATTTAAACGGTAATTGGTAAAAACATGAAGAAAAGAGAGATCGTTAAGTTCCCAGAATAGGAACAATTCGAAATTATGCCAATGAAAGCAATGAACCCGGGTTTAATGTCCAGGAGAGAGGCCAATAAGTGGATCTCCCTGAGAACTGAGCGACTTTCTGTAAAGGAACAGTCAAGATTGGTCAGAGGATAATATCAAGTGGAACTATGGAAACCAGTTTTGTAGCCAATTTGTCCTACCTAGTAAAGCATTGTAAGGTGCCTAGGCTCTTTACATCACCTTCGGAAACTAGACTTTACTGAGAGTTTACGCTGAATTTTGAATCTAGAAGAAAGTTTCTGATCACGGAAATATCAGGTCATCTGACCCTTCAGGGCCCCAATAAGTTTGCCCCATATTCCTAATTACCACGATGAACTTTGGAAAGCTGTGGGGTTTGGTGAGTGGAGCTCATGAAGCATGGCGCATCCTTCTTCATGTACCAGAGCTGTACATTTCTTCGTCAGCAATGAGCACCTTGCGTGTAAGCAGTTAATAAGTCAGACAAAGAGGAGTGGCGGGCATGAAAAGAATGAAAGAAGGAACAGCCAAGAGATTTCAGAGGAGGAAAAGGTCTCAGTAGGGTGACAGTCACCACTGAAGTCTTTCCGGATCGCTGAAATTGAAGACACCAATCCTGCAAGTGCAATGGATTATTTTCAAAAGAACATCAAAAAAAACGACTCGTAGAAAATGGCTGAGGACGATCTCAAACGTGAGTGGCACGAGCCTAGACAGTTCACAGAGCGAGCTTTGTAAAAGTTTCAGAGTTAGTAGCGTTTTCAGCGCCAGATCCGGATAAATGGGCAGCTGATTACGCAAAAACTGGCCCCGTCGGCGCTCGTTGCCTCTGCAAAAATTCCAGTATAAGCCAAAAACGAAACCAACCCTCGAAATGGAGGAATTGTATGGATAGTAAACTCAAAAGTGGAAGCATTACTCAATATAGCGCTAACGGCGATGAAATCCGAAAAAATGAATCAAATAAAGTGACTAACCAGTTTGGTGACTTGTTTGATACAGGATACGTGTTGAACATTGGGCCTTGGAAGTGACACTCTCTATACCAATTGCTTCCCCTATTTCAGAGGGCAGAAAGGCCCGAAGATAAGAAGGAGCTCCTGAACGAGTTTTCCGATTACCAACAGTTTCAGAAAAGGGCGTATTTCAACGCTTTAGTGCTGTTTTCACCTTGGGGAACGAAAGTATTCCATACATCTCACAACAAAGTTTGGTCCTAGTAAATAATCCCCAGGGCGGATCTCATAGCGATGGATCTCATCTGAACAGAACTGCTCTAGACTATTTTTCTGTTTCAATTTTCACACTATTTTTTCCATGCAAGTCCCCGTACTAGAGCAGAAGCGCTTGGCATGTTGGCCGCAATCGGAACTCCTCTTTCACAAGGGCAGCTTGCATTGGAGTAATCAGTAAATCGGTAATAATGCTTTTAGTACCAGTATGGATTGCAATCCAGCTTTCTGACTTTCAAAAACAGGCTGGTAAAGAAGAAAGGCTGCATTACTGTTGTTTTCTAGGATTCTCCGTCGAGAGAAGCGATCAAGCCTCTTTTAGATAGTAATTTCCGGGCGACTGGTGACAAGTGGGTTGGGACCAGTTCTCCAGCAGTTGATGGAGGATGTTGTCGCCAGATAAAGAGGCTATAACGAGGTGAAATGTGGGGTCAGCGACAACGCCGGATATTATTAGCGGGATAAGGGGATACTACTGAATACAAAATTGGTAGGTTTGCAACAGTAAGTTTAGCTACCGTTTGCCTTATGCATTTCCTGAATACAACCATTAGGCCCTAGCAAGCCGGTACCGGAGATTACTGTAGTAAATTTATCACTTTCACTGGACCAACGTCAAAGGTCTCTGGAATAATCCACCAGAATCAACTTCTCTACTTTTTCTTTTTTTTTGAATGGGTAGTTCACTTGGGCCTTTCAACAAGCAACCGCAACATGGCCAACATTCACTATCTTCAATTTTCACAAAAAAAGTGGCGACAGAAGAGGAAGAGCTGTTTGGCCTGTCAAATGCTTCATCAATACTGAAGACAATTTTCACGAACTGGTACATATCCATACGTCACCAACTAGTCTTGTCCCACGCAAACATCCGTCAATAGGAATTTATGAAAGAAATGAACATTTCCGTCCCCACGACTGTCCGATAGAGCAATAATTTTTCAACGATGTTGATTTTTTGGACCAAAGGTGAGAGAGCAGCGCCTGCCATGGTATGAGCATGTGCTCAGACGGCCACAGGTTCACCGATATCAAAAATAATATATGTATCAGTTTGTGCGAAAAATATCTGCCGAAAATTTCACAATAATTCAGCCTTCATCCGGGGGTCTTCTGGAATCTGCCGTAGAAGTACGCTGGATCACTACTCGCTTGTATACGCCTAACACCAGGAGATTCTATTATTTATTCGGTTATTATTTATTTGAGTAAGCAATGAAGAGGTAGTAATAGGATAGTTATTCGTATGCGTGAAGGTAGTGTTCCTAAATAGAAGCCTCATGGAAACTTCTAGGGAATCCCCCGAAAAGTCTGCACAGCGGCTGAGTTTTCAGCAAAGACTTTCCGCACAATCGAATGTTCCAATGATCAAGGGAACCGACCACGAGGAGTTCCGCC